ATATGTATAGTATAATAGAACGATTAAAAATTAATAGTGATATTCGTTAGATCAATAAATTCGTAAAATTCGTATATCGATTGTATATATTTTTTACAAAACAAAAACAAAAAAATAAACGAAAAATAAAATTAAAAAAAAAAAAGCAACCAACCAACTAAGATTTCAATCATTCTTTCGTTCGTTCGTTAATTAATTCTTTCGTTACCTCAGTGACCCCATATAAAGGTCGTCCAGGTAAAAATCCTGTATAAAGGATTAACCCATATAGGGGTTGTACTACTATGAATTACTATGAAACGATACTCACGCTAAAAAGCATCCCATAACGAAAGGATTAATACATTTTAAGATGATAATAATAATAATAATAATAAATCTAATATAAATCCCAATAGGATAGATTAATTATGCTGACATTAGATTAGAGAGAGAGAGAGAGAGAGAGAGAGAGAAAGAGAGAGAGAGAGAGATGATAAATTCGAATTTGAAATTACGATTATCTAATTTTAATTGAAAAATGTCTTTTAAATCAATCATTTTGCATAAAAGTTTACGGAAACTTTTCTTCTTCTTCTTCTTCTTTTTCTTCTTCTTCTTCATCTTCTTCTTCCTCCTTTTTTTCTTATTATTATTATTTTCGATTTTATTATTTAAATTTCCTATGTATTTTTTCGTGTCGATACAACGTTCGAATAAATGCTTATTATTTATATTATTAGCATTAAAATAATTAATAAAACATTATCGATTGATATCAGATTTGTCGATAATTTATTTAACTCTTTCGTTACTCGCGACTCATATACGGAATCGTTCATGCATAGGGGGTTCCCCATACGAACAACTGATACCCCATATAAGGGTCGTACTATGAATTTCTTTCTATGGAACGATAATACTCGTGCAACGAAAGGGTTAAGTTAAATAGGTTTAATTATGTAATTAACTTTAAAATTAAATATTGTTAAGTACAATTAATTAATTAATTGACTGACTAATGCGAATATAATCAATATAATAACAATAATAAATGTGCCGATGAAAATTCTCTCCTAGCTAAAACAATAAATTATTAAAAATCTACATTCGTGTGTGTGTAATTATTATTATTATTATTATTATTAAAGGACAAAGATACTTAATTTTTTTTTCTTTCTTTCTTTCCTTCCTTCCTTCCTTTCTTTTTTTTTTTTTTTTGTTTAATTTAATCATTACGCCTTATTACTTAACTATTTACACTAAGGAACGAAGATTACATCATCTGATCACCGAGCTAACGTATAATTTATAATAATCAAGTATACCTTCCTTTTTTTCTTTTTTTTTTTTATATATTTCTTCTTCTTTTTCCTCGGAGAAGCATCGAACGTTATTTAGCTTAATATATTATCTAACGTATGTAACGAATATATATAATGTATATGTAACGTATTTATCCTATTAATGTATTTATCAATTTCGTGCACACTTTTTGTCGCATAACTTTGCGATGTATGTTAAAACACAATAGAGAAAGATAAAGATATAGAAAGAGAGAAATATACAAATAAATAAAAAAACAATGTTTGCGTTCTTATTCCACTTGTCGTGAACGATTATTAACGGGTTCAAAACAATTCGTGCAATTTATATTTAATATATTTATCTATTAATGCATGTATTCGGTTTAGTGCACTTATTTTTCACTTATTTTCCAATTAAATAGAAAGAGAGAGACAGACAGACAGAAAGAGAGAGAGAGAGAGTAGCATAATAATATGCATAAAACAATTTTGTTTGTTACGTTCTTATTCCTCTTGTTACGAAGATTGTTAACGGCTCAACTCAATTCAATTTAACTCTTCTTTGCATGATTTTTTCTCTTTTTTTTTTTAAAATAAATCAGGGTGATGTAATTAATGCTCTAGATCAGGGCTTCTTAAACTTTTGTCATTGATTTATGATTGCGAGTTTCTTGACGACCCCATACAAATATTACTGCTGTCGGTGGAGATAGCTCAAAACCTTCAACAAATGCACGTGTCTAGACGCTGCAAGTCCACTGTATTCCGCCAACTCTAGTGATGTTATAAAATGGTATATATAAATATTTGACATTAAAATCTCTCGCGACCGCAGAATTTTGCTACGCGACCCATAGTTTAAGAAGCCCTGCTCTAGATTAAAGGAAAAATATTTTTAAAAAAATCCTAGTGCTATTTTTTGACAACTGCGTTTTGTTGTACGCAATAGTAGTCGCTTAAAAAGTTGCCAGCAACAACAAATATACAGTACAAGGGTTTTGAGTACCTTTTTTTCTTGACTAAATATTATGATTGAAATTTCCATCATCATGCAAAGAAGGGTTAAATTTGACTTTGACTTTGACTTGATTTTATTACTTGACTTCGACTCGATTTGAGTAATGTCGTGGCAGTGGTTGCTCAGAAACTGGCTGATTAAGGCAGTTGGGGGCCACCCTTCCTAAGGAAGAAGAGTCTCGTTTTTATTCTCTTTTTTTGCTTTTTTGTTTTTCCCCTTTCTTTTCTTTTCTTTTCTTCTTTTATTTAGGTCACATTATCTTCCTCGAAACTTATTGTTCATGAATGCATGACAATATCTGTCGTCGTATGCATTTATTCGCTCATATAATTCATTTATTTATTCATTCATGTTTTGTTGTAACGGGGGTTCGATGATCGACGCTCATCAACGAATTTCACTGTTAATTTCTTTTTATCTTTTTTCTTTCTCTCACTGGAGAGAAATTTTGTTTGAATTAGAGAAAAAGAAAAACGGACAAAAAATATGGAAAAGAAAAATATATATATATATATATATATATA